TTCTGCTTCTATTGTTGAAGTAGCCACAACTGACTACAGTTTTAAAACCCATCTTACAGCTCCGCCAGCAAGTGCAAACACATAACCTGTGGTGAATTTGTTATTATCACGATTACCTGCATAATCAGAATCAACATATCTACTGATAATAAAATCAGATCCCCTTAGCATAATGCAACATTTGAGGTTCTCTTAATGTATCTTAGAACCCTCTTTACAACATTCCAATGCTCTTTACCAGGATTCGCCATGTATCGACTAACCACTCCCACTACTTGTATAATGTCTGGTCTTGTGCAAATCATCGCAAACATTAAGCTTCCCACTACTGATAAATACAGTACTCGAGACATCTTCATCCTGTCTTCTTCACTGCTAGGACTCATACTGGAGAATAACTTGAAATTAACAGGAAGTAGAGTAGAAATTAACTTACAATCTTGCATGTTAAAGTGCCGCAAGATTTTGTTCAAGTAATTTTTCTGAGAAAGCCAAATCTTCCTATTAATTCTGTCTCGATAAATTTGCATCCCTAGAATCTTTTTTGCAAATCCTAAATCCTTCATTTCAAATTTCCTAGCCAACTGAGCCTTTAATTATTTGATACGATCTTTGTTGGGGCCTGCAACCAACATGTCGTCAACATACAACAATAAGATAACAAAGTTATTTTTACCAAACATCTTGAAATATGCACAAGGGTTTGAATTAAGTTGTATCCAAGGCTCATGATGAATGAATCAAATCTCTTATATCAACACCTCGGTGCCTGCTTTAGACCGTACAGAGATTTGTTCAATCTGTAAACCAAGTTCTCTTTTCTTTTTTTCTTAAAAACCTTCTGGTTAGAGCATGTAAATTTCTTCTTCAAGATCTCCATGAAGAAATGATGTTTTCATATCTAGTTGCTCTAGATGTAAGTCAAATATAACGCTCATAGCCAGGACTATCCAGACTGTTGTAAGTCAAACCACAGGAGAAAATATTTCATTAAAGTAAATACCTTCTTTTTGAGCATATCCTTTTACCACCAATTTAGCACGATATCGCTCCACTGATCATCGTCATTTCGCTTGATCTTGTACACCCATTTATTTCCAATGGTCTTTCTTCCTTGTGGTAGTGACACAAGTACCCAAGTCTTGTTCTTATGGAGAAATTCAATTTTTTCCTGCATTGCTACCATTCGTAAAGATGCATCTATGCCATTTATAGGTTCATGAAAAGTTGATGGCTCCCCATCCTCCATTAGAAGACAGTATGCAACATTACTCTCCGTAATATACTCCGAGTGCCAAGTCGGTGGTCTTCTCTCACGAGTTGACCTTTGAATTTCTGGAGCCTCGGACTCGACTGGTTCTTGTACATCATGCTCTGGTGTTGCTTCAGAAGAATTCAGATTATTTTCTACCTGAACAGCTATAGTTTCTGAGTCCTTCCTCGAACTGTTTTTTTTTCTCTTTACTTTGTAGTTGGTTTTCTACAAAGATAACATCTTTGCTGATGATAACCTTGCGGGCAGTGGGATCCCACAGGCGATACCCCTTTACTCTATCAGCATACCCCCAAGAATAAGCATTTTCTGGATTTTGAATCCAGCTTTGTAATTTCTTAGGCATTGTACATTACATACATTGGACTTCCAAATATATGGAGGTTAGAATAATCAGCTGGCTTGCCAGTCCACATCTCCATCGGTGTCTTTAACTGTATTACGGTTGATGGAGATCGATTCACCACATAACAGACGGTTTTTACTGCTTCCGTCCAAAAGACTTTATCCAAATTTGTAGTTGCCAACATAACTCTTGTTCTTTCCAACAGAGTTCTGTTCATCCGCTCTGCCACTCTATTTTGTTGAGCAGTATAAGCCATACTGAATTGTCTTTTGATACCTTCATGCTTGCAGAATGCTAGGAATTCATCGTCTGTGTATTCTCTTTCATTATCTGACCTTAAGCACTTGATCTTCTTCTCAGATTCAAGCTCGATCCGTGCTTTGTTGGATTTAAAGACTGAGAACACATCCGACTTCTTCTTGATAGGATACACCCAACATCTCCTGGAGTAGTCATCAATAAAGGACACATAATACTTTGCTCCTCCTAAGGATATAACTGGTGCTTGCCATACATCAGAATGAACTAGTTCCAGAATAGCATTGCTTCTAGAACTCAATGTGTTGAATTTCGGCTGATGCTGCTTACTTGTAACACAATGCTCGTAGAATAGAAGAGCTACCGAATTAAGTCCAGGAAGCAGTTTCTGATCAGAGAGAATCTTGAAACCTCGTTCTGACATGTGGCCTAGTTTGCGATGCCACCTCATGGTTTGTTCTTCTCCATGGCTGGTTGATGCCACACATGAATTAGCTTCCCGCAGGGTTTCTCCCTTGAGCATGTATAGATTTGCAGCTATCTTTTCTTCTTTTATCACCACAAGCGCCCCTCTAACAATCTTCACGATCCTATTTTCGATATGGGTCTTGCACCCGAGCTCATCTAATTATTCCAAAGACAATAGATTCTTCTTTAAGCTCTTCACATGCCGCACATCTTGAATGGTGCGTATTGTACCATCAAATATTTTGATTTTGATAGTACAAATACCAGAAATCTCTAAGGCATGATCATTCCCCATAAATACAGATCCTCCTGAGAATGGTTTGTTATTCACTCTAGCTATTAGTTTGATATCCCTATGCTTGCTTATTGTTGACTCTTTTTTTGTTTTTTCTATCCTACCTATGAATTATGGCTTCTTCTTGTTCGTTTTCGAAGCGACGAGGACTTCATCAACATGTGGACGAGCGGAATATCGATTCTCGTCCTATTGGTATGTTAGTCTTTTCCATGTAATTGTCTGGCTTTCCTCTTTGAATTAGATTATCCATTTACTCGCGGTGGTGCGCATTACTTTAAATATCTTTCTACGCTTCTTTATCTGGGCTTCTGTTTTCTTGGGGCGGTATTATTCCTCCTTTCTACAGCACTTGTCTTCTTCTTCTTTTCTCTTTCTTGATGTACAGAGTACTTACTATAAAGTATTTGATTTAGGAAAAGCCCTCACTTGATTGATGAAATATTTTGGTAAGCTGCTCCCTTCCTTTTGCTTTCAATCTCTCTTGTGCCACTCCAGCTTTCACTCGATGCCATTCATCTGAACGTGGTCGTGGTGTGAAAGCAGTGATGAATGGGAGGAAGCAGCTTCACTAGCTTTGGCTGTGAAAACTGTTGGTCTTGGAGCATCAGTGTCATCAGTTCACCTTCTCTTTGAACTTACAGTGGAAATAACGTCGTCGGATATCTCCTGGGAACTGACGGTGCTGATTGTGTTGCTGGTTTGTAAAAGAGTTCTTTTTCACCTTTCGGCTGCTCTTTCGTGATTTTGACTTCACTAGTTGGTCTTCAGTTGCTGCATGGTCAGACAGGCTTGCGGACTCCTAAGATATGTTCATATTTATGAAACCATTCTCTCCGAGAAGTCATGTGTCAGGAGGCTGCTGAATTTAGAAGCCAGACATCAGCAAACATCTTTCTGCTTTCATCAACAGTGGTCGCTCTGCTGAATAGAATTTTACCATCGTCTGATGTGCTAACAACGCATCCTTGAGATGTTGATGGCTCTGAAGACTTTTTATCTCCATTCTTCTTATTGTGCCATCACTCCGATTTGACGTGCCCCTTTTGCCACAATTGTAGCATTTGATATTCTTCTTACTTTGTGATTTTGATCTACTATGGGTATGACTCCTACTGGAGCCACGTTCCGTTGATCTTCCTCTCGTCATCGATAAGGCATCTGCTTGTTGCGAACTTGTCTGCCTATCTTTCTCATTCTTACGCCGATTTTCTTCCTCCAGAACAGCGGCTGTAACGTCGTCGAAAACTAGATAGTCCGTAAGGATGTTGTTTGTTAGGTTGATGATGAGTTGATCATACGAGTCAGGTAGACTCTAAAGTAAAAGTTCTGCACGTTCATTCGCACCAACTATATACCCTAACATTGTGAGTTGGGAGAATAATGTGTTTAGGGTGTTGATGTGGTCAGTCATCGATGTAGATTCCGCCATCCTAAGAGTGTAAAGTCTCATTTTTAAGAAGATTTTATTGTGCATGGATTTCGCCTCATATAGCTTTGTTAGAGTATCCCAGATCTTCTTTGCTGTCTTCTACTCCTCTATGCTTGACAGCACCCTGTCTGTAATGCCAGATGGAGATTTACAATAATATTTTCGTCCATCTCGTTCCACTTCTTATCATCTGTGATGTCGTCCGGCCTTGCACCGATGGCCGCCAGATAATTATCTTTTCTCAAGATAGCATTTATCTTCAACTTCCACAGTGAGAAATTACTCCTGTCGAATTTCTCGATCTTAAACTTTACCACCATTGCTTCTACCACGAACAGTAACTTCTTACTATCTCACGTAAATAGTAACTGTATTTATAAACAATAATCGTATCTGTGAATAGTATCGTACTTGTGAATAATACCATATTTATGAATAGTACCGTACTCGTGAATAGTACCCATCACCTTCAAAGGGTAAATAATAACCTAACTTATTTTCTGATGTGGAGGATCCACCTTTGATGGCAGCCACAGAGCAAACGATAAGTAGATATATACAAGCATCCTAAGTTGGTTCTGATACCACTTGTTGGGACAAACCCTGAGCCAAATAGAGCAGAGCCGCAGCAATAGTAGAGCAAAAGTAGAGATAAAAAATTAGACACACAGATTTACGTGGTTCGGCACTTGATTGTCTAAATTTACGGGAAAGGATAGAAGAATTTACTATAAGGAGAAAACTCTGGAGTTAAAATCTCTCTTTACAAGGAGATACTCTCTCTCTATTCTTTCTCTCTCACTCTTCTATATGAAGAGTTGTTTCTGGTATGAGTTTTTTCTTAAAAAATTAGATCTTATTTATAGTTTTTGGAAAAACACCATGCATAATATACCACTATTGAGCACAAATTCGGAGGGAGAAGATATATAGAAACAAAACATAGATAATCATAACAACTACTGATCTTTACGGTTCACATAACATGATAACAAAGATCAAAGTGAAAGCTAGTACTGGAACTTAAACATATCATCACACAAACAGGGAATAAGAACGACAGAAACAAAGAGCACAAAGTTCGTTAGCAATTTCTTTTCTCAGACTTTAAGCAAGGAGAATGCCGATGACAAGAACTCCTCATCCTCCGCGAAAAGTTGCAGGTTCTTGCTCTTCATCAGGAATCCCACAGCAACATCATCAAAATCCAAGAGGCAGCTGAGTTTAATAACTTCAGCGAGTGCAGCAATATGATCAGCCCTCTCAAATAACAGTCCCTTCGATATCGCTTGAGAAAAGTAGGTAGCAAACTCAATCTTTGCTCTTTGTCCGCCTGACCTATCAATCTTCTGAATGAGTAACTTTGAGTTCTCCTTTTCCCATCGAATAATTCTACTTGCCTTGGCTATCAAAGTCTTGCCCGAGGAAAGTTGAAGGCGATAACTCATTGTAATAGGTTCATCAGTCTCAAAGACTGTTGAATCAAGAAGACACTTAATAATCTGTTGCCTATCCTCAATGCATATATCAAGAAAAGGGTCTGCTAGAAATCCAAGAACAATTCTAACCAACGAAGGTTTTATTATGGTTTCTTTTGAATGATGTTTTCTGAAATCAGCATTTTTTGATAGGGAGAACTGGTCCTTTTCAATAGCCCCAGAAATAGTTCGAACCCCTAGGCTGCTGAAGATTAAGTTCATTTTAGCCCGAGAGGTTGAAGGAATAGTTGTTGGAGGATACCAAATGAATACAGATTCTTCAGAGGCCTCATCAAACAAATCCTTCAACATAAGATCATCAGGAATGAAGACATCTTGCTTGTTAGATAGCACAATTCCATTCCCTATTAGCATATCCAAAATCACAAATAAAATTTAGCCTAGAGTTTGAAATCTTATTTTAATACAAAAAAACATCAAAGTAAAAATTAAAAGCTTCCAATTTGCTAATTTGTTACTTTAGTGACAATCCTTTCGACTTTCTGACATGTATACATACTTTTCGGTAACAACCTCTCCCTACTCTTTCACCACAACTAAGTAGTGATAATCAACAACTATACACACTGACCCTCACCATCACAGTAAATCACTAGGCAACATTGTCGACAAATAAACAAATCTTATCCTGACAACAGTTGTATTAACCTATTCTCGTAAAAAAAATTATAGAATTGATTGCAGATGTCTCGAGATCATTTGTGAAATGTAAAGGAATCTAGGACAAAGTATATCAGATTACTGAGATTTCGATAACTTAGAAATATTTACCTGGAGGCAGTATGAATAATTTATCATACTGGTGTAATTAGTGATAATGTTATAAGCAAGCCAGCATATTCTGCAATGACATATTCTGTAGAAAACTGGAGGTTTAATACAAATCAAATGTATAGTAATGTCTTCTATTAAAACTGACGAATAAAAGCAAGATATGATTTTTTTAAAAATGCTTATGGTTTTGCCATAGGAAACACAGCTTTAGCAAAATAGTAGAATAAAAGTGATGTACCTGTCATGTACGTTCTCTTTATCGTATAATTTTAATTTATGGCTGTTGGATGCATATAGCAGTTCTTTCCATTCTGTTCGTCTTAACTATTTCCAGACTAAATGTCTTTTTACATCTAGGTCTTACAACAAAATAGATGAAAACATTCATGGAAAGGCAAAATATCATGATTGATGCCAATATTGATGACAAATAAACACTATTAAATTTCGCAGATATCTCATGAACATTATATGGAATGTAGAAGAATCTTCGATAAAAGTATAGCAAATCTCTAAAGCTTGAGATTAGATCACAAATGATTCAAAACCTTCATAATTAGTAGAAAACTGAGATAAAATGAAGTACCTGAAAGCACTGGAACCTTAGTGATCCTCTCCAGAAGAAGGTTTGTCGTCTTCAAAAACCAGTGCTTTGCAATAAAAACCCAAAAAGCAATGCATTCAGCTTCAGTTGGTTGATGAAGTGCAGATTCCCACATATTCCAGAGCTTGCAGTAATCTTCGACAGTTGGACCATTCTTAACCTTCAGTACCAAGGAGAAGAATCCGAGCAACTTGTGCTCATAATACTTATCAAGAACATAGAGCTGAGAGCTGAAGAGATCATCCTTGTCGGAAAGAACACAACAGTCTGATCCGACCCATTTGCCTCCTTCGGCGCCATCTGGTATCCAAATCCAATCAGAAGCTCCGTCTTCAGGTTCCCATTTGAACTCCATCAAGTACTTGTAAACTCTAACTATGGCATTAGTCTGACAGTGGCATTTGAGATGATCAGCTAGCACTTTGCATCCATTACCATATCCCACAATAACACCAAACATCTTTAGCTCTTCTCCATACATTGTAATCTCCGCCCCGTAGAAATCCTCATCAAGAAATGGTCCATCACCCCTTTCTAAAAAAGGTTCCCACTTAGAATCATAGACAATGCACTCACCAGGGAAACTGTAACCCATGGCTGTCTTCAACCACTTCTTGTCAATACTTGCCATAAACTGCTTCGGAAAAATTTCCGCCTTTTTCTTCTTCAGATTCCGAATACATTTGAGCAACGAAAGACAGCTAGGTGCACTCACAGATGAAGGATCTTTAGGGATGTTCAGGCTAGTGACGACAAAATGGGCTCCCTCTTTGAATTCAACAGTGCAACCCAGAGCCTTGAGCTCATCTTTATATTCATAAATTCCCTTGCCATAGTAAGCCTCAGTATCATCAATAAAAGGAAGAGTAGCAATTGGCGAAACTGACTCCCATTCAGCCTCAAATAAGATTGATTCTTTGGGAGACCTGAACCCTGTTCGGGTGCGTATCCATTTCTCTGTGTGTATACAATTGGTAAGATCAGAAGGGAATCTGTATGAAATCTTGGTCAACTGACGATAGCTTGAAAGCAATGCGAAAACATTTTTCTTTGTAAGCGTAGATGATGATGAAAGTAGCTTAAACCGGTTAGCAATGGCCTTGGATGCTTCCTCGAAACTCACGAGCACCCCAGCTTTCTTCAGTTCTTCCTTATAAGACCCAATCCTACCACCATAAAATGCCTGATCAACCAATGGAACTTCATCAACTACCTCGAGGAGGCACTCCCACTCCGAATCTACAAGAAAGCATTCGCTTGGTATTTTGTATCCGGTGTGGGTTCTAACCCACCTTAACCCCCTGAGCTTATTAATAAACACTTCAGATGATTTCACATAGCGAATGCAATCAAGTATCAGAATCGCAGCGTCAGCTGCTACTGGAGAAGTTAGCTTGAAGTTGTCTACAACAAGTTGGTGATTATGATTAAAGCCGACTACAACACCAAGTAGCTGAAGTTCAGTCCCATAGTTGAGAATTCTGTCGCCGTAAAAGCCTTGATCAATGAAGGGAAGATTGCTTATAAGTGAGGCCGTTGTCCACTCAAAGGTTTTCAAAACAGCTCCAACTGGAGATCTATAGCCCTGAGAAGTCTTCAGCCAACTTCCATGTTTGATGCTAGAGATGAGATGTTCAGGGGACAGTTGCTTCTCCCTCACTGCTCTAATCAATTCAAGAAGAGAAATTACATTTCCACTTGACAAAGTGGAGTTTTCGGCCAATGACATGAGATGGTTGCCGATATAAGTTGATGCTTCCCCAAACTCGAATCGAACACCAATCAATTTCAACTCTTCCTTGTAACTGCCAAGCTTGTAGTCATAGAACCATTGATCCACCATGGGTATGTCAATGAGAATGGACTCCATGTGCAGCAGACTTCCCCAGTCAGAATCAGAAAGGAACGATACAGACGGGGGCTTGTAACCAACTGATGTCTTAAGCCAACTTCCACTCTTGATGCAATGCAGAAACCTTTGCGGAATTTGAATACCTCTATATTTCAGTTTTGATATCCATTCTAAAAGCAAGAATGTGTTCTCCTTCGTCAAAGGAGAAGATACAGTAAGAAATGGGGCATTTGGAGGACATATCTTTGGAATATCAGAAGCTCCAATATGATCCTCAAGGAAGGGAAGAAGCTTCTTTTCAGAAGTATAGTTTCCAGCGAAATTACCAGACATAATGTAGTCTGCTCCCATCTCAACATAACCCTCCCCTCTCCAAACATTCGAACCCAAAAATCCAACCCACCGGCTGCATTTTGCGGGAACCAAAGTCTTGTTTGTTTGTGCAGTCACATTTCCGTAGCTATCCACGAGCGGCATGCGACTGCACAACTCCTTGACAGCCCACTCTGTCAAATAGCCCTTCGACCAGGAGTGATAGAGGAAGTGAGCGAACGCAATCACATGCTTTCTATCATCCCGCAGGCTTGGCAAAGCCTTAAACCCATAATTGTACACGTCTAAAACCTGGACTTCAGCGTTCGATTTTAACCAACTTATGATGGTAGCTTGTCTGGGATATGTTGCAAGAACTGTCTGAGTCTTTTGGGGTACAAAAAAGATCACAGAAGACCAGAATTCCCGGCTCCAACTAATCAACCAAGAAATGTTCTTGCTTTCTGAGGCAATACCTATCTTCTCGCTAGACAAAGCTGCTCCGTTTATGCTCCGCAAAGAGAAACTGCCACTCACGTCTACATACTTTATGAGAGGTATGTTGGCCATGTTGGTGCCCTTGAAGAAATCCTGCCAATTATCGGCTAGGAAAGACAGGAGGTCCAAGTAAACCTCCTCAGTAACTTCCCTAACAAGATTGGAACTCTGAATGCACTTCGCGTACCACTGCTTATCCACAAACCCCACGCCTAGAAAGTCCAACACCTCATCATTTTCTTTCTTATCGAACGATGAACTCAGGCAATAAATCCCATGGGATGACAAGTTCTTCAAGTCCACCTTAAGCTTCTCCACCTTGTCCAGGATATTCCAAAATTCTGGCATCAGCCGGCCAACTTCACTTGGCTTGGAGAAGAATTTTTGGCTAGTCTGAGATTCACAGGGTACAATATACTCTGCCACTACCTTCTCTTTGATGGACTGCCTTACGGAGTCCATTAGCGGTATTTTAGAGCTTTTCACGGGGAGGAAACGAAACATGGAGGAAATGCAGGAAGAGGGAGCTGTCTGCGTTGATTTCACCAAGGAGACAAAAGCATTAGTGAAGGCACAAGGAACACATTCAAGAATTCCTTTGTTCCAGGGGCTATCCAAAAGTATCGACTCCCTTGACGAAGATAGAAGGAAGTCTGCCTGAATTATGAACGGGAAGTTTGTGACCATCTCGGTGGGTAGAAAGGAGTATATGCCAGGTGTGGTTAGCCCTCGATTTAGCCGCTGTCCCCACGGAAAAGCCAGAATGATGACCCATTCGTCGACTTCCATTCTCTTCTTCACCCTACAATCAGATTTCACAGGGAATTTTTGCTTCCACATGTAGTAGCTGCACTCTTCCTCTTCCCGTTTGCTGTTTTCTTGGGCAGCAAGATGGCGAGTGTATGATTCAGCAGCTACGTTCTTTCTCATCTCAACATCTGTCTCACTTGAGATAGAGATTTGGCTCACTGTGTTAAGCCTTGGATCATCATTTTCTTCCCTGACGGCAAGCTGCTTAATTTTTGAAAGGAATAATAGGATTTCAGGGTGCATTTTCGACAGCTGTTGCTTCACTGCCGCAACCTTTTCAACTTTTAAAGGCAAGATTATTGTCGTCGTGGGAAGTGTCGTAGAAGGACCATATATTTGCTTTATGTTTGAGAGCATCAGATTATCCTCAACCCATTCAGGGACGATGTACCCAATGTTGCACTCTGGGCATGGTTCTTCGTTGAAGCGTATCTGATATTCATTACTAAAGATGTGGGGCTGACTGGATACCAGAAACACACTTTTGAAACCAATGCCTGCAACCGAAAGTGGTCTTCAGAAACAAAATTATGATTCCTTTAGAGATATAACAAAGAAGCAATCAAATCTTTGTACACTTTTGTAAACCAGATCTCTTTTCGTTAAAGATATTTATAAGGATATGAATGGTGGTAAACTAGTGAACATGAGGTCACAGGATCAAAATGATCAAAAGCATTGCAAGAACTAACTAAAAACTACACACACAAAAAGTTCAAATGCGAAAAAAAAAGGGTCTTGCCGTTTACCTTTCTCCCCGATGTAACCACGATTGCGGCAGCCTTTCTTGGTGGACTTGCCGACCCTGCAGATGGATTCGATGTTGGCCGGCGTGAAACCCTTCTCATTGTTGAACACCAGCAGTGTTGCTGATGCTCCGGTGGCGGTGAGGTCTTTCGATGTGATGACGAACTCCAGTGACGGCGGCGTTCCAGCTGGATACTGATTGTCTTCAGCATTCTGTTGATGATGATGATAGTGTTGGAAAAAAGAGGAGAAGATTTTGCTACATTTTATTCATAAACTGAATGTACCTTTTTTATAGGCTTACAAAACAACTTAATCACCATAAAAATCTAAACTAATTTTAAATTTATTAGCAACTACTCCACTAACAAAATAACAACCAAAGACCGAAATTTTAGCTAACAAAAAAAAAACAAAAAAATCAGCAAAATATCAAATCTTTGAATCAGTCTTCAACAGATAGAAGAGCAAATGCAAATTAATGCTCAGCTGCTTGTGATGACTGTTTTGTTTATCAACATGTTTTTGCTTGCACTACTTCGTGCTTATATAGGAGAAGAACTAATCTAGTTAGCTCTTTTGTTACCTCCAAGGATTAAAATTATTTGAGTCATTGAAATATTATGAAACCCCTTTGAAGTTAAATCACCTTTTCATCACAAAACCCCTCAATGTTTTAGAGAGAAAAAACACTTATTCCAAAATTGCCCTCTCCTTATTCCTAGTGTTTATGTAGGAGAAGAGCTAATCTAGTTAGCTCATTTGTTACCAACAAGGATTAAAACTATTTGAGTCCTTGAAATATTATGAAACCTTTGAAGTTAAATCACATTTTCATCACAAAACCCCTCAACGTTAAAAAAAAACACTTATTCCAAAATTCCCCCCTCCTTATTCCTCTTAATATATATTTTCCCTTTCTCTCAAAGGCAAAACACAGATTAGAAACTGAAAGTTACACAAAATTTTGAGGTCTAATCAAAGAATTTGAAGAGGTTACCTTTATTTTCTACTATTTCCCCCTTTTTCAATAGGTCGTCGTTATTTGGGTTTGATGGGCAGAGAAGAAAGATGGATTTTAAAAGTTTTTTATTTTTTCTGAACATAATCTCTGTATTGGGGATTCATACTCGAATTGGTCCCCGTACTTTTATTTTAATTTTCAGCGTTTTGCAACAAACTCCCAATAACTTTCTATATCTCACTAAATCCTCCATGAACTTTTAAAAAAATCAACCTACACCCCACCCCACATAGCTTTCAAAATCTTAACCCCTAATGACTTCCAAATCACATCAAACCCCCAATAAATTTTAGAATTGAAGAAAATCCCAAATAAGATTCCAAATTTTTGCAAGTAACCACTGTATATAAGAACAAAAAATAACATAAAAAGGCATTTTGAAGGATAATTTCAGCAAAAGAAAAAAAATAATTAGAGTTTGTGATCCTAACCTGAGCGAACAATAGGAAAATCAATAAAAAAATAAAAGATTTCTATTTCTAGGATTGCAACTATAAAAAAGTCATAAATGAGTTTTTAATAATTTAAGGAGTATTTTGGTTCTTTTTAAGTCACATGGGTTGCATGTGCCACATCGGATGTAACCATGTTAACGTTGAGAATATTTTGCAGAAGTTAGTGGGGGCTTTTAGTGTGATTTGGAAGTTATTAGGGGCTTCGTGTGATTTTGAAAGTTATTAGGGGTTTACTGTGATTTTTTAAAGACGTTGTTGGGGATTTAGTGTAATGTTGAAAATTACTTGGGAGTTTACTACAAAACGCTAAAAGTTAAAATAAAGTAGGGGCAATTGAGTATATATGAAGCCCCCATAGAGACACGAAGTAGGGATAAGATAAAGTAGGGGCCAGTTTGAGGATAAAATCTTAGTACAAGGATCAAATTGAGAAAAATAAAATATGGTGAACATTTTGAGTTTGAAGCCCTAATACCGGGACCAAGTTAACTTTTTAGCCAAAAAAATAGATTAGTAGTTTTCTAATAAATTGGTAAACTTGAAGGTCTTTCAGAATAATTACTCTTGAGGCGTATAGCCTTTTTTTAACAAATGGAGGACTTATTAACTCGCCTGCTTAAACAGATGGATTAGTAAACTCCTCAATTCGATGGTTAACCTATTTTAAGCTCCTCTAGCTGATTTTCTCAATCCTTTTATAATTTTGGCGTTGCACAAATTCTGATGGTTTTATTCAAATTATCTCTTATGTTGAATTTTTATGTTTGGTAGGTTTTGAAGGTGACAACCATGGATATAGTTAAAGTTGATCGACTAAACCTCGTTAAATCTTTGTGTTTTTCTCGATTATGCTTGTTTCTATCTTGTGATGTGATTATGGACTAGTTTCCGGATTGCGGAGGTTGTAGGGAATTAAAATCCCCAACATTTCTTTAGCTTTAACTATGTGTATTCCATAAAATCTAAGTATATTATAAGAGTTTGAAGAAATGGCGAGCACAAGGACGAAGACCGTAGGAAAAAACAACAGGAGACATTCTGGCAGTTTCGCGGTCGACCGTGGATGACACGGCGGTCGACCGCAAATGTGCACACGACTGAGAAAAGTATCTAGACTTTTTGCAATCGACTGTGATGGGTTGTGCGGTCGACCGGCCAAACCTTGTAGGGGTTTTTAGTCTCGGTCGTTGGATCCGGTCGACCGCGCGTGGTTCTACGGTCGACCGCGAGTCGGGTCTGCAGTTGAGTTAGATTTTCTGACCCATTTCGTTTTGAGTTAATATATAATCTTAATCCTAATTAATTTAGGTAAAGCAAGGATGTTTTGAGCAGTCTTTGAGAGGGGATTGCTGCATCCAATTGTGGGAGAGGTGTAAGAGATCTAGAGGCTTTGTTTTAGGGTTTATTTGGTGAGATTTATAACCCTATTTGTATTCTCTTAATTTCTAATAGTAAGAACTCCCCCCTCCTTGCCCCGTTGACGTAGGCAACTTGCCGAACCACGTAAAATTCGTTTTTCTTGCTGTGGTATTGTGTTTGGCTTATTGGTTGTGATCTTTCTTGTTCTTGTTCGTACAATTTTGTGTGCTTTCGAGCTTCCGCCGCACACAACAAGTGGTATCAGAGCTTCAGGTTTGGCTTGAGGCTTGTTCGAAGGATTCGATGAAGGATTTCTATTTGAAGAGTTAGATCGACAACATGGGAGAAGCAAGCACATCAGATTCGTCCCTTACGAAGGCGATACAGAGTCTGAGCATCAATAACATAAAGATTGATGTTCCGAAGTTCGACGACAATATCAATTTTGGTTTTTGGAGGTGTCAGGTGATGGACATATTCGTCATATATGAGTTTTTAATAATTTAAGGAGTATTTTGGTTCTTTTTAAGTCACATGGGTTGCATGTGCCGCATCAGATGTAACCATGTTAACGTTGAGAATTTTTTGCAGAAGTTAGTGGGGGGTTTTAGTGTGATTTGGAAGTTATTATGGGTTTCGTGTGATTTTGAAAGTTATTAGGGGTTTACTGTGATTTTTTAAAGACGTTATTGGGGATTTAGTGTAACGTTGAAAGTTATTTGGGAGTTTACTACAAAACGCTAAAAGTTAAAATAAAGTAGGGGGTAATTGAGTATGAAGCCCTCCTATAGGGGATTTAGTGTAATGTTGAAAGTTATTTGGGAGTTTACTACAAAACGCTAAAAGTAAAAATAAAGTAAGGGGTAATTGAGTATGAAGCCCTCCTTTAGGGACACGAAGTTCGGAAAAGATAAATTCGGGGCCAGTTTGAGAATAAAATCCTAGTACAAAGATGAATTTGAGAAAATATACTACAGTGACCATTTTGAGTTTGAAGCCCTAATACCGGGACCAAGTTGACTTTTTAGCAAAAAAATTAGGTTAGTAGTTTTCTAATAAATTGGTAAACTTGAAGGTCTTTCAGAATAATTACTCTTGAGGTGTATAGCCTTTTTTTTAACAAATGGAGGACTTATTAACTCACTTGCGTATATAGATGGATTAGTAAACCCCTCAATTCGATGGTTAACTTATTTTAAGCTCCTCTAGCAGGTTTTCTCAATCCTGTAATAATTTTGGCGTTGGACAAATTCTGATGCTTTTATTCAAATTATCTCATATGTTGAATTTTTATGTTCGGCAGGTTTCGAAGGTGATAACCATGGATATAGTTAAAGTTGATCGACTAAACTACATTAAATATTCTTTTTGTTCTTCTTGAAGGTGATAACCATGGATATAATTAAAGTTGATCGACTAAACTATGTTAAATATTCTTTGTGTTCTTCTCGATTATGGTTGTTTCTATCTTGTGATTATGTGATTATGGACTAGTTTCAGGATTGCAGTGGTTGTAGGGAATTAAAATCCCCAACATTTCTTTGGCTTTAACTATGTATATTCCATCAAATCTAAATATATTACGAGAGTTATAATTCGGAATAAATGATAACTGTGTAATTGATGAATATTTAAATTTTTCGACCGAAAGAAATATTGTGACAAAACCTGAATGAGCTCCATGAGGAAGTGTACGTCCTTGGCGTAGAGCTCCTCTGAGAGATAGTTGACGGCCTGGTGCATGTCTTCGGCCAGCGGATTCTTTTGCTCTCGACCAATGAAGAATCTGTCTCTTCTTATGCTTTCTATATGTTCACGGGCTTTCTCCATCTTTAAAAACTAAAGAAACAAAAATCCTCAAGAATCAGGAGAAAATTTTTGAAGAAGTATGTGGTTGCTTTTGCATTGTGATGTTATGCTAAAATCCTATTTTAGCAATAGAAGTCAGATAAGTTTAAAATGGATCTGGTTAATTAGTCTTAACAACAAAATCCAACAAAAACTTAGGGTTAAAAGTTCAAAAATTAGCATGTGAGTACCACATGAGAATTTATGGATGAAAAATTCCGCGTTTGCACAATGAGGGTACATATTCAAGTGCAAAATTTGAAAACTTTAGGGTGTATAAGTGCCGCTAAAAACAAGCCAGGGTATATAAGTGCAAAGTAGAGCAAACTATGAGGTATTTAGTATTTACATGCACTCAAGTCTTCAAACAATAATAAACATTTACTATCTTCTTCAAGACAGCAAAATAGAACATAGCAAAAAGATCAATTGAGGTCACTTCAATATGCTGATGACACTTTGCTTTTTGTCAAGAGCAATTCACATAACACATCTATTCTCAAAACAATCTTGTTTATTTTTGAGGAGACATCTGGCCTTGGCATCAATTACTCCAAATCTTCTTTGATTTATTTCGGCAATATCCAAAACAGAGACATTTCATTAGCTGCCAAGCTCAATTGTAAGTGGAAAAAGTCCCTATTAAATACCTTGGTTTACCCTTGAAATATGGAAAATTATCAAAGACTGATTGGCAACCTCTACTGGACACCATGCACAAGAAACTTTCCACATGGAAAAAAAATTGTTTATCTTTTGGTGGAAGACTGGTTCTACTAAACTCAGTTCTCTCTTCAATTCCATTATATTTCATGTCTTTTTACAAATTGCCTACTTGGTTAATCAAAGATATAGATAAGATTAGAAAGAACTTTCTCTGGAATGGAACTGCAGACTCCAATACTTTCAAATGTAAGGTAAACTGGAAAAGAGTATGTATGAGTAAATCTGAGGGTGGCTTAGGAGTTAAAGATCTGAGTATCTTTAATTCTTCTCTTCTAGCCAAATGGCTTTGGCATTATTTGGACATCAATTCTACTACTGGCTCCTATCTTAGACAGCTTTATTGTAACAGGAATCTGAACATTCAGTCTTTGAGGTCAAATACTTCATATTCATCCTTTTGGAATGCAATCATATCTCATAATGATGTTTTTTTCCAACAAATTATATGGAAGCTAGGCTCTGGTAACAAAATAAGAATTTGGGAAGATAAATGGCTTGGAGTTAACTCCTTAGCCAGTTTATATCCCTCACTATATAACCTGACATTTTCTATAAATGTTCCCATAAGTAGACAGAAACATTTTCAAGCTAATGAATGGCATTGACATGTTTTGCTTAAGAGAAGCTTAAATCAAGCATCACATTTTGATAAAATGCAGCTCATGAACAACATTGGAGCTTTTTATGTCAATAATCAACATGATCAGGCAAAGTGGTCTCTCACTTCTACATGGGTATTCTCAGTCAAATCCTTATACATATTTCTCAATTCCAGAGGCATTCAATCTCCTATTTACAAAGGCATATGGAATCCCCTACTACCGAGCAAGGTCCAGTTTTTTACTTGGTTATTGTTCAATAACAAATTGCACACTAAGGATGTTCTAATTCTAAAAGGCTGGCAATGTGATACATTATGCAACTTTTGTGGTTTGGAAGATGAACGTCGAGAACATCTTTTCTTTTCATGCCCTTTATCATTGCAAATATGGAGACGTTTTCAAAAGTATGAGTTATATTTTCAATGGCCACATACTTTCATGGAGCTTCTACATTCTGTAGAATATTTAAAAGGCATGCATGGACATATCTGACGTCTAATTTTTTCTGCTACATGCTGGAACATATGGATTTCAAGAAATAAGCTTATTTTTTATCATACTCCTCTCTCATACAAATCCATTATTAATCAAATTATTTCTAGAATTTATGAATGGACAGGTGCAAGAAAAGGTTCGGTGGCTCAACGTCTATCTAAAAAACTAGAACATCATCCAATCAGCAAAGAGAATGTTTAAGAAAGCTTGGAGGATACACAGGAAGTTGATTTTGGAGATCTTTTGAAGTCTTTTTGTAACTCTTTTGTTTTTGAACGATTATGTTGTTTTTAGTCTTATGTTTTGTTAGTCTATAGAAAATCTAATTCAAGTAAATATACGTATGGCTGGCTTTGGTTCTTTCTTATATCTGTGTCAACGATGAGTGACGGCAAGGCCCACTCCTCATCTTCACAGATCTCTAAAAGAAGAAAGTTATACGTCCCTATTTAGTTGAATTTTATTTTCTATCTACTAACATTTGGATACAATTCGTATCCTATTTTTTGTAACTATAACATATATATTTTAATGAACGGGGAGCATCCCCTGTTTTTCTGTAAAAAAAAAAAAGATAGATATAACATTTGTTATATCACCTTAACTTTCCACCTTTTTATTTTCTATCACCAAACAAAAGTTTTTATTAATCCCTCATATCTTTAATATTTTTTAAAATTAGTCCCTTAACTCATTGAAATTCCCGTTACTTATAAGTTGTTTAAAAAGTTAGACCTTGCAACTAGATCCCTGCAGGATTCTTATAAATTGTTTCAGATTATTCATCCAATTAAGAGGAGCACTAAGTACCAAGCAATTTCAATGATTAGAGGGATTAACTTCAAAATAGGGTTTTTTTCAGATGCGTGCCCCTGATATCTTTAACATTAAGAAATTCGAACCTCAAATCATTGAAATTGCTATGTAGTCCCTCAAATTTAATTAATTTTCAAATTAGTCCCATTTGTAGTTAATCCGTCTAAATTGCTAGCTGATTAGTTGTGAACCACACATGGTCCGAATTTGAGGTACTAAGCAGCAATTTCAATAGTTTGAGGGACTAATTCAAAATATTAAAGATGTAAGGGACCAATAACGGAAAACAGAAACCCTTCAAAATATTAAAGATTTCAGGGGACTAACATCGAGAAGAAGAAAAAACTCAAATGATATTTTTCTAGCAAAAACGTTTGCTTTCAACATTTTCAGAAAGTGCTTTCCTTTTCTTCCCGTTCATATTCAGCTCCGAAATGCTATATTGCAAGCAAGGATGATCATCTACATACTACGAAAACACGAGCGCACGTACAAAACACATCCAACAAAGAATATTTGATAACCCAGTCCGGAATCGAACCCAAAGACCGTAGACACTATACTGGAACCCCCTAACCATCTAGACCAGTTCGGAATCGAACCCAAGACCGTAAACGTTATACTGGAACCCCCTAACCATCTAGATCACTCGCGTCGGGTTACATTATAGATTTTTGCAAGCAAGTATCAGATACATAATAAAAAAAAAAGGAGTGGAATAATTAAGCCTGCCGTACTCACCAGAGCGTAAACAGGAACTCAGCAGTAGCAGCTCCTTCAAAAGAGAGAGAGAGAGAGAGTGTGTGTGTGAGTGGAGACGAGAGAATAAAGGAGCACAAGCAACCGGGCTTTTATATTTGCCTAAAGTTGGAAAAGGACGCAACGCATTCTCATGCATTCATTCTTATGCTTCAATTACTACACAAATCGATCACGATCGTTCAAATGAGGTGATCCAACGGCTGCAGTAACAGATGCGGTTAGCAATTAAAAATGTCCGACCGAAGTCAGCTGCCGGTTCAGTCCACATCATCTTTTCTCTGGTTGTGGGTTAAGTTACTTAGCTACGAAGGCCGCTCCTTTTGATCTGGGAATCTTCCTTTACTTTTGGGCCTTTTTCAAATTAGTCCTTTAAATGTTTAATGCTTCGTAGTTGTTATATCAAATCGTTAAAATTGCTATGGGGACGTTAGTATTTCGATCTTTTTTCCCAAATCATTGTAATTGTTATTAAGCCCCCTTAATCATCTATATATGCTGAAATTAGCCCCTCCATCGGATCTTCCATCCAGATCATTTAGCTATGGTCGGAGTTATCCTAACCATGCATGGATGGGTAATTGGTATTACCCCTACCCGGAAAAAGTCCTCACTCTATGTGAGTATGTGTGTATATGTATAGTGAGATAAAATCTTATTGCAAGATCGACTAATTGGCTTATCAAACTCATGATCTGTACCATATATCTTTTTCAAAACATCATCAAATGTATATAATGAAAATTTCACATAGTTTGAAGTCTTCCATAATATAGTTCAAACCAGTTTAATATATTGGTTTTTGAGACAGCTAAATAGCCGCGCCCCTTTTGCACGTAACTAAAATAATAATTATAAATTTTAAAACATTATAATTTTTTTAATATACAGATCATGATGAGGGCAAACCATGATGGGCGGTGCCGATTATCATATCGGGTGGCTAATTAGTCCATCTCACGATAACAATTTCATCTCACTAACTCATTTCATCTTAATAGCCTCAGAAATAGCTTGAACCCCTACATTGAAAGTGACTTTTTCTGAGCTTTGGTTTAAGCTGACCAAGTTCAGAGAAGGGGATTCCTGCACAAATTTGCACTGCACACAGTACTCAACAAGGGAAGAAAACTTAATATTCTTAAAGTTGGAGACCATATAACACAATTGAGCCCAAATTAGGAGGGAGAAGATAGAAACATAACATAGATAATCATAACAACTAGTGATCTTTATGGTTCACATAACATTAAAGATCAAAGTGAAAGCTAGTACTGGAAATTAAACATATCACACAAACAGAGAAAATAAATTGCTAACGAACTTTGTGCTCTTTGTTTCTGTCAAGGAGAATGCCGATGACAAGAACTCCTCATCCTCCGCAAAAAGTTGCAGGTTCTTGCTCTTCATCAGGAATCCCACAGCAACATCATCAAAATCCAAGAGGCAGCTGAGCTTAATAACTTCAGCGAGTGCAGCAATATGATCAGCCCTCTCAAATAACAGTCCCTCCGATATCGCTTGAGAAAAGTAGCTAGCAAACTCAATCTTTGCTCTTTGTCCGCCTGACCTATCAATCTTCTGAATGAGTAACTTTGAGTTCTCCTTTTCCCATCGAATAATTCTACTTGCCTTGGCTATCAAAGTCTTGCCCGAGGAAAGTTGAAGGCGATAACTCATTGTAATAGGTTCATCAGTCTCAAAGACTGTTGAATCAAGAAGACACTTAATAATCCGTTGCCTATCCTCAATGCATATATCAAGAAAAGGGTCTGCTAGAAATCCAAGAACAATTCTAACCAACGAAGTTTTTATTATGGTTCCTTTTGAATGATGTTTTCTGAAATCAGCATTTTTTGATAGGGAGAACTGGTCCTTCTCAATAGCCCCAGAAATAGTTCGAACCCCTAGGCTGCTGAAGATTAAGTTCATTTTAGCCCGAGAGGTTGAAGGAATAGTTGCTGGAGGATACCAAATGAATACAGATTCTTCAGAGGCCTCATCAAACAAATCCTTCAACATAAGATCATCAGGAATGAAGACATCTTGCTTGTTAGATAGCACAATTCCATTCCCTATTAGCATATCCAAAATCACAAATAAAATTTAGCCTAGAGTTTGAAATCTTATTTTAATTAAAAGCTTCAATTCAATTCAAAATCACAATCCCATTCCCTATTAGCACAATTCAATTCCATTCCCTATTAGCATATCCAAAATCACAAATAAAATTTAGCCTAAAGTAAAAAATTAAAAGCTTCTAATTTGCTATTTCGTTACTTTAGTGACAATCCTTTCGACTTTCTGACATGTATACATACTTTTCGGTAACCACCTCTCCCTACTCTATCACCACAACTAAGTAGTGATAATCAACAACTATATGCACTGACCCTCACCATCAAAGTAAATCACTAGGCAACATTGTCGACAAATAAACAAATCTTATCCTGACAATTCTTGTATTAACCTATTCTCGTAAAAAAAAGTTATAGAATTGATTGCAGATGTATCAAGATCATTTGTGAAATGTAAAGGAATCTAGGACAAAAGTATATCAGATTACTGAGATTTCGATAAATAAGAAATATTTACCTGGAGGCAGTATGAATAATATATCATACTGTTGTAATTACTGACAATGTTATAAGCCAGCCAACATATTCTGGAGAAAACTGGAGGTTTAATACAAATCAAATGTATAGTAATGTCTTCTATAAAAAATGACGAGTAAAAGCAAGATATGATTTTTTTTTAAAATGCTTATGGTTTTGCCATAGGAAACGCAGCTTTTGCATAATAGTAGAATAAAAGTGAATTACCTGTCATGTACGTTCTCTTTATCGTATAATTTTAATTTATGGCTGTTGGATGCATATAGCAGTTCTTTTCATTCTGCTCGTCTTAACTATTTTCAGACTGTACAATGTTTTTTTAAATCTAGGTCTTGAAACAATTTAGATGAAAACATTCATGGAAAGGCAAAATATCATGATTGATGCCAATATTGATGACAAAATAAACACTATTAAATTTCGTAGATATCTCTGAACATTATATGGAATGATGAAGAATCTTCGATAAAAGTATAGCAAATCTCTAAAGCTTGAGATATGATCACAAATGATTGAAAACCTTCATAATTAAAAGAAAACTGAGATAAAATGAAGTACCTGAAAGAACTGGAACCTTAGTGATCCTCTCCAGAAGATGGTTTGTCGTCTTCAAAAACCAGTGCTTTGCAATAAAGACCCAAAAAGCAATGCATTCAGCTTCAGTTGGTTGATGAAGGGCAGATTCCCACATATACCAGAGCTTGCAGTAATCTTCGACAGTTGGAACATTCTTAACCTTCAGTGCCAAGGAGAAGAATCCGAGCAACTTGCGCTCATAATACTTATCAAGAACATAGAGCTGAGAGCTGAAGAGATCATCCTTGTCGGAAAGAACACAACAGTATGATCCGACCCATTTGCCTCCTTCGGCGCCATCTGGTATCCAAATCCAATCAGAAGCTCCATCTTCAGGTTCCCATTTGAACTCCATCAAGTACTTGTAAACTCTAACTATGGCATTAGTCTGACAGTGGCATTTGAGATGATCAGCTAGCACTTTGCATCCATTACCATATCCCACAATAACACCAAACATCTTTAGCTCTTCTCCATACGTAGAAATATCCGACCCGTAGAAATCCTGATCAAGAAAGGGTCCATCACCCCTTTCTAAAACAGGTTCCCACTTCGAATCATAGACAATGCACTCACCGGGGAACCTGTAACCCATGGCTGTCTTCAACCACTTCTTGTCAATACTTGCCATAAACTGCTTCGGAAAAATTTCCGCCTTTTTCTTCTTCAGATTCCGAATACATTTGAGCAACGAAAGACAGCTAGGTGCACTCACAGATGAAGGATCTTTAGGGATGTTCAGGCTAGTGACGACAAAATGGGCTCCCTCTTTGAATTCAACAGTGCAACCCAGAGCCTTGAGCTCATCTTTATATTCATAAATTCCCTTGCCATAGTAAGCCTCAGTATCATCAATAAAAGGAAGAGTAGCAATTGGCGAAACTGACTCCCATTCCGCCTCAAATAAGATGGATTCTTTGGGAGATCTGAACCCTGTTCGGGTGCGTATCCATTTTTCTGTGTGTATACAATTGGTAAGATCAGAAGGGAATCTGTATGAAATCTTGGTCAACTGACGATAGCTTGAAAGCAATGCGAAAACATTTTTCTTTGTAAGCGTAGATGAAGATGAAAGTAGCTTAAACCGGTTAGCAATGGCCTTGGATGCTTCCTCAAAACTCACGAGCACCCCAGCTTTCTTCAGTTCTTCCTTATAAGACCCAATCCTACCACTATAAAATGCCTGATCAACCAATGGAACTTCATCAACTACCTCGAGGAGGCATTCCCACTTCGAATCTACAAGAAAGCATTCCCTTGGCATTTTGTATCCGGTATGGGTTCTAACCCAACTTAACCCCCTGAGCTTACTAATAAACACTTCAGATGACTTCACATAGCGAATGCAATCAAGTATCAGAATCGCGGCGTCAGCTGCAACTGGAGAAGTTAGCTTGAAGTTGTCTACAACATGTTGGTGATTATGATTTAAGCCGACTACAACACCAAGTAGCTGAAGTTCAGTCCCATAGTTGAGAATTCTGTCGCCGTAAAAGCCTTGATCAATGAAGGGAAGATTGCTTATAAGTGAGGCCGTTGTCCACTCAAAGGTTTTCAAAACAGCTCCAACTGGAGATCTATAGCCCTGAGAAGTCTTCAGCCAACTTCCATGTTTGATGCTAGAGATGAGATGTTCGGGGGACAGTTTCTTCTCCCTCAGTGCTCTAATTAAATCAAGAAGAGAGATTACATTTCCACTTGACAAAGTGGAGTTTGCTGCCAATGACATGAGATGGTTGCCGATGTAAGTTGATGCTTCCACAAAATCGAATCGAACACCAATGAATCTCAACTCTTCCTTGTAACTGCCAAGCTTGTAGTCATAAAACCGTTGATCCACCATGGGTATGTCAATGAGAGTGGACTCCATGCGCAGGAG